CAACAAAATTGACGTTGATGTCTTTCTCGGCCAACAGCCTTTCGGTTATCTCGTCGCATGACGAGTAAGTCGACAGCCAAAGTGGCGTATTGCCATTTTTGTCTTTGCAGTTCACGTTGGCACGGGGGTGACTTAGGAGCAAATTGACCATTTCTAGGCGATCGCTTTGAATGGCGAGATGGAGCGGCGTACAACCATTCCGGTTCTGGATGTCCAAACTCGGGCCCTTTTGTCCGAGAAGCCGTTTGACAACATCTACTGACCCATAGGCCACTGCTTGGTGAAGAGGTAGCTCAGCCTCTTGTGATGATTTGGTACCAAGAAACACCTTGGCCATCGGATCGTTTGAAAAAATCATTTCCATCACGGGTCTATTGAAGCGACATGCCCAGTCCCATGGCGAGTGGCCCGAATCGTCCTGTAGATCAGGGTCGCTGCCTCTAGAAAGTAGCAGATGCACGAACCCTATTCGGCCTGCGGAGACTGCTAGGTGGAGCGCCGTTCGGCTGTGTTTGTGCTTGATGTCCACCTGGACGTTGGGTTGATTTAAGACACTTTTGACGGCGGAAAGATTTCCGTAGTGGATAGCATACCACAGGGCGCTCTCCCGCGCTTGATTTTGAATGTTGATGTCTAGGTCTCCACGACTGAGCAAGAGGTCACGCACAGCAGCGGAAGAGAATTTCAGCGCCCTCATTAAAGGAGTTTTGCCTCGGTAAAATGCATTGATGTTGGCGTTGTGCTGGAGCAAAGCCTCCGCAAGACCAATGTTGTCGTATTTGACGGCCAAGTGCAACAGATTGCTGTTCTGAAATTTGATGTTGTATTTCCAGATGCTGGGCTGCAGTTTAAAATCAAAGTCTTTGCATGATTTTGCGAGGGCAAATAATGCACTACCGTCCAAATACGACACAATCCCCAGCAAAAGCTCGTTGGGCAGGTCCCTGATGTTTGGCTGTAATGTATTAGCTCATCGGTAACCTCCGTAAGAACGAATTGAACAGACCATGATGGGACAGCGGATTGAGCTAACGAAATGTAGATGGGGGTGAGGTGAGAGTTGTGAAAGTAGGATATGGGAGGCCTTTATATACTCACCTCAGCCAAATTCCATGGTCAGCTATGAGTGTAGTCTGTCAGTCCGCTGAGAGGTGCGTAGCAATCACAAAGCCTTGACAACAATGTTCAGGCGGAGTTGGAGAATCTGTGGGGTCTAGCTCCTGGGAACGCCAAAACTGTTCCTGGTAGTGTGTCGATGGCCTGGGAACCGAATCTATCTCTACGTACCCACATCTCGCCCCTAGCGCCATAAGAACAAATAACAACCTATCACGCACTTCGAAATTCATAGGAAACCCAGAATCTAACGCAGCATTTGTCGACTTCGCTGCTCACCGCAGTAGTCAGTCTGTTCGCTAAGGCGTGGTCACCGCGATGGATAGTCAAAAGTGCAGCTGATTGCAGCAGTGGTCTGGAATGATATCCCTTCATGCAGGCCACTGACCGGCTGTATACGGCGCATACTGCGTGTGAATGCATTCTTCGACGTACCGACTGTTTCAAGGAAGTGTTCCATGCCAGCCACGCAGCCATGTAGGTAAGGAGCCCACGGCGATGGCATATAAAGCTGGCGAGGAAACGCCGCAGTGATGGCCCTACACCACCACAATCCGAAGCATTTTCTGCCTTTGACGACCACCTCAATAACTACCATGCTGCCTTGGAATCCGTTTCTTGTTTGTGAGATAGAGGTCAGCCCCAATGGCCGTCCTGGCTCTTGTTGCGGGACGACGAAAAAAGGCGAGCCGTGCAAAAACTCGATCAAAGTTGAAGACACCAAGATCGGCCATCAAAAGTTGACCACTCTCGCCAGAGAGCCATTTGAGTTGTTATCGTTGCAGTCGAAGCTCTGTGATATCGCCAGAGACTTCCTCTGCGCGAGATGGCACCGGCAACGGCAGGCCGACCAAGTTGGCCAGCAGTGGTATGAAGCCGCCGTCCGCAACCAGGCGCGAGTACCACATGGCTCCAGAATGGCCTCTCCATCAGTCATTGTACATCGGGGCCAGCGTCAGACATCGTCAGCCTGCAGGCGACGCCCTGCATCAGACAACACCCGGTCATCACCACCACCGGTGCCCCTGTCAACCAACCCCGAGCCAGTGCAGCCATTCAATCCATTTGTGACTTCTGCAACGCTGCGGACGAACAATGTTCCATGGCGCGTTTCGCCGACCCGACCAGCCATCCTCTCATCGGCAACTAATATCCGGGCGGGTGTCCAAGACTTGACGCTGCAGAGTCTCACGCCGAGCCAAGCGGTCGACAGCATCCACGTCGACAGCATCTACTGTGTGTTCTGCCAGACCGAGGATGAAGACCATGCGGACGAGAGCGTGATCTTGCACTGCGGTCAGTGCACATCGCTCTGTCATCTGTCGTGCGCCGAAGAATGGTTGGAAAAGCGAGATACAGGGTTTGGCACGTCATGCTGTGTGTGGTAAGTGTGGATGACTTTATTTCTGAGACGACCAAGATACTGATGACCGCAGCCGAAACGAAGGAGCCCTAGATGCCATCATTCGCCCCTTACGAATCCCCTCGTCGGATGCCGAGACATATTCCGTCCACGCGGCAAGCGATCCATCTCCCGATGGTGGGCCCCTTCGCTCAGCCAGACTAGCAGGAACTCATCTACCGGGAGACCCATCCACCCCTGCACCGCTTCGCCGGTCGGCACGACTCTCCACTCTGCGTGGGTGATCGTAGGGTGCAGGCGAGGTAAGATGGAAATAGAACAAGAGACGGCCAATCACACGTGAGTGCACGTGACCGACATCGGCATCGTGATCAGCAGCTGTGGCCATAGCATTGATATAGATTTTGAAGCAAGCCTAGCAAGAAATGAGATCCCAATTGTTTAGACTTCAGATTACAAGGCGGCCGTTCATCTTTGCAAGTGCTGGACACCACTAGACCTTAGTCAAAATTTACTGGCTGCGTCGCTCAATTCGAATCTGACATAGTTACCTTACCAGCGATGACAAAAAAAACACGGGTTCATCTCAGTGGAGCCGTCTCACAAAAGGCGGAGACTGTTGGCAGAAAACGCAACTCGTGGGGCTGGAGCAATTGACAAATCTGTCTGCTTGTTAGCTTGACCCTGGGAATCAAAATATTGACTCTGGGAACCTCAAAGCATTTTCTAGGAGGTGTCTATCCCCTAGGAAATCCTCTTTAGGTCCCGGGCTATTTCTAATTCTAGGAAAGCGATGTTTACCCCTGGGATCTTCACTCAACGTTGTCAGAGATCGAGCATATATAGTAGCTTGGGTGTTTGGTCGCTGACCAAACATTGTGCCTTTTTGGCCAGATGGCGTAGTGGTAAAACCCAAGCATCCATGAACCGTCACAAACGTTCCTGACTGAATACGAAACTGGCTCTGGGAATACATTGACAAGATCTGGGAGCTGTGGAGCCCCTGGGAGCCTACTTTAGGGCCCTAGAGTCACTATACTGCTTCCGAGATCGCGGAGGCTCTCACAAAACACTTTCACCAACCCTGCTCACAAATTTGCGTCATTGGACGACCCCCAGAAGGCCAAATCATCGCCCCAGGAACCAACAAGTCGTCAACAGGAACGCGGCTTTGATTCCCCGAGGTAGGGATACCAGACCCCAGAAGCTACATCGGGTTTCCTGGGGGCTACGTGGCTCCTAGAGGCTGTTTCTTTGCTCCCAAAAGCGCTTCAGGGGGCCCCGGGAGTAAGAGAACTCCTAGGGTTAAGAGATGAATTCCTAGCACTGATGCAACCGTCAACAGGAGCGTGACCGATTCTTGATAATGACGATGAAGATGTCCATGTTTGTATCTGGATACGGCTATGGATATCTGTTCGCTGTTTATACGGACAGAGACGGAAAGTGCGCATAAGCAAGGAAAATCTCCCTTTTCTTAGACTTCAGCCGTGAAAGACATCAAGCCTAAGGAAATCGATATCAAACGCATCAAGCCTAGTGGATTTAGTTTCCACCTGATTTCTGGAGGCAGTAATGAGACGGCGTCTGAGATAAAAGCCCTGCTATCTGTAGAGGATTACCGAGCACGGCGAAGCAGAAATACTTACTCTAGTTAAGTTCAAGGTAAAAGAGAATCATGCTCTTACTCATTCATATTAGAACAAGAGCGAGTTATAACAGTATCTGCGACCTTACGAGCTTCAAACCTTCCGAGGACCACAAAGCAGCCAAGGAGGACCTCGCAGGCTCAGCTGGACTAGACGCAATCTCGCCGTTCTGGAACTCCCTGTTTATGCACTATATCGTATATTGAATGCTTTCAACATCACTTTTCACTCCTAAATCTGACATGGATTATGTATATGGCTTGGTCGAGCGGCGAATTGAGGAAATGATAATTTACCCAGCAAAAAAATGCGGCCCTGGCTCTTAAGCGCATTATAATTGGAATTGCGAGGTATTCTTTGCTCTGCACCTTGACTAGCTTTTGGAACTTCACAGGTCCTAGGTGTCATCAACCAAGGGGGACAAACAACGGTGGCTAAACGAATGCATGGCTTCAACAGGCCTCAATTAGGACAGGCACCCGTGCCTTCATTTTCAAAGTTCCCTATTTCCTGCTCTACAGGCGTGAGTGTCGGGTACGGATTTCCACTGAAGCACATTTCTCTTTGTTGCCAGAATAGCAACACCACTAAGTTTTAGACTGGGTCAGAACATGGAATCTGTATTTGAGGTGTCTCGATCTGCTGAAGGACACATACTGTAACCCATCATTAGCAAGAAAGACAATGGTCTTTGACTGAAATTCGCCACGCGTGATTGTATCTCAGTCGCCTACACCAAGGCAAGCATCGTGGCAAACAAGGGCGCCATTCGCAGAATGGCCAACAGACATTGTCGAGCGAACTAATAGCTGTCATTTCCGGCAAAATTCAGCGAATATGAAGAACAATGAAAATATTCGAAACAGAAAACGTCACACCACGAAGATGGAAATTGTGCCATCCTTCCCTGGGATTGGAAGACCCCTTGCTACAAGAGTTCGTGTTCGTTTAGCCCTCTTCTTTGAGGACATGCTCTTCCAGTTCTGATATAGAGCTACATCTTCAAGCGAAACTTCGGTCGGACGGAATTTATCCGGGGAGTCCTCAGCAGCAGCAGGCTCGTCGATAGCAGCATCAGGCCAATCGGTAGCATCAGGCCAATCGGCAGGAACAGGCTCAGCGGCAGCAATATCCTCAGAGTGGTTGCGTCTCTCCACTAAGCCATGAGCCTACATCGCTTCTCACTTGGAACGTTACGCCAGGTATCATCTCCTGCTATTCTGGAGCCTGATCATCCTCTCAAATATTTGCTTGGATTTCTGCTGGGTATTTATGACAGGGAGTTGAGAAGCTCCACCATCGCCTCATTTCCATTCCGAGCTGCCCATAATAGTGGTGTCCGATGATTATTGTCCATCGAGTCCACCTCCACATCATCTCGCTCAACCAGTAGCTTCACCACCGCTTCACGGTCATACTCAGTTGCAAAAGACAGTGACCCAGCCGCATAAGACAGTGGTGTCCGACCGTACTTATTCTTCGAGTCTGCCTCCACATCATCTCGCTCAACCAGTAGCTTCACCACCGCTTCATGTCCACCCCATGCTGCGTACGATAGCGGTGTACGACCCTCATTATCCTTTGAGTCCGCCTCCACATCATCTCGCCACAGTAGCAGTTTCACCACCGCTTCATATCCATTCAAAGCAGCACACGACAGAGGTGTCTGACCGCACTTATCCTTGGAGTCCGCCTCCACATCATCTCGCTCAACCAGTAGCTTCACCACTTCTTCATATCCACACTCAGCTGCCCATAATAGTGGTGTCCGATGATTATTGTCCATCGAGTCCACCTCCACATCATCTCGCTCAACCAGTAGCTTCACCACCGCTTCACGTTCATACTCAGTTACAAAAGACATTGACCCAGCCGCATAAGACAGTGGTGTCCGACCGTACTTATTCTTCAAGTCTGCGTCCACATCATCTCGCTCAACCAGTAGCTTTACCACCGCTTCATGTCCACCCCCAGCTGCAAATGATAGTGGTGTCCGGCCATAATTATCCTTCGAGTCCGCCTCCACATCGTCTCGCTCCAGTAGCAGTTTCACCACCGCTTCATATCCATTCAAAGCAGCACACGACAGTGGTGTCCGACCGTAATTATTCTTCAAGTCTGCCTCCACATCATCTCGCTCGACCAGTAGCTTCACCACCGCTTCATGTCCACCTCCAGCTGCAAACGATAGTGGTGTCCGGCCATCATTATCCTTCGAGTCCGCCTCCACATCGTCTCGCTCCAGAAGCAGCTTCACCACCGCTTCACGTCCATCCCAAGCTGCGTACGATAGCGGTGTTCGACCCTCATTGTCCTTCGAGTCCGCGTCAATATCATCTCGCTCCAGAAGCTGCTTCACCACTGCTTCACGTCCGCACTCAGCTGCCCGTAATAGTAGTGTCCGGCCATTATTATCCTTCGAGTCCGCCTCCACATCATCTCGTTCAACCAGTAGCTTCACCAATTCTTCATGTCCAAACAGAGCTGCGTACCACAGCGGTGTCAAACCACCATTATCCTTCGAGTCCGTCTCCACATCGTCTCGCTCGAGAAGCAGCTTCACCACCGCTTCACGTCCATTCAAAGCAGCACACGACAGTGGTGTCCGACCGTACTTATCCTTCGAGTCCGCCTCCACATCGTCTCGCTCCAGTAGCAGCTTCACCACTTCCTTATGTCCACACTCAGCTGCGTGAAAAAGTGGCGTTTGACCATTCTTGTTCTTCGAGTCCGCCTCCACATCGTCTCGCTCCAGAAGCAGCTTCACCACCGCTTCACGTCCACACAGAGCTGCGAGAGACAGTGGCGTCTGACCATTCTTGTTCTTCGAGTCCGCCTCCACATCGTCTCGCTCCAGAAGCAGCTTTACCACCGCTTCACGTCCATACAGAGCTGCGAGAGAGAGTGGCGTTTGACCGTTCTTGTTCTTCAGGTCCACTTGAGTACTACTTTTCGCTAATAGCAGCTCTTTCAGTCTGCCCTCAGCTTCTTCTGCGAGAAGGTGCAAGATTGTATTTCCTTCTTCATCCTGAACAGAAGTGTGTCGGAACGTCAAGACTCGGGCGAGGTCAGGAACGGCGCGTAAGAGTGATAATTGATCACGAGGGTTGAGATTCTCCGCCGTGAGGAGAATGATCTCTCTCGGGAGATAAGCACTATCTTTTGACGTTCTCATCATCTAGCGCGTGAGAGATGCGAAAAGATAATAAAAACCCACAGCAGTCTGGTCTTCTTCTTGCCACGCTTAGAGACGTCGTTAGTCTTGATCGCTGTTTGCGGAAAAATGTGGTTGCTAGCAGAGGTTCGGGCATTCCGTTTTGTTCTATTCCTGCTCATCCCGGATATCTCCTCCGTTCCACTTTCTCGGGATCATAAATACGGAGAAACTTGGAGGTGATAACGTACTTAGGGGCGGGCTCTGGTTGAACTTGTCAGCCTGTCAGAGTCCTCCAAAGCAAAGCGAAAGTGGAGGTGAAACGTCAGCAGCGGACCTTGCCTTTTCCTAGTGCAAAGTTGACAAGCTTTGTCGAAGCCTTTTTAGGGCTTGAACTTCGTGAAAAGATCAGCCGTGACTCAACGAATCGAACAATCTCGCTGCCTGAGTTACGCCGCGTGCCTGGTGGTGGGCCGGCAGGCATTGGACGGAATGGCCGAGGACGAAAAGTTCAATTTGCTTCACTCTAGAGCCGCATACATCCAACTATGTGCTTTGTGAAACCCATCCAGTTACTTCGGCGTTGCGGGCCAGTGGCCCATCGTATTGCACCCTTACACCCACTGAACGGTGCTAAAACCGAAAATAGACTAGCATGTGTCATAATAGAGTTCGGGGAATAGTCTCTAGTGTCTTCGCCCCTCATCCGTCCGATTCGCCCCACAAATAAAGTTATCGGCCCGATACATAATATTTCCGTGGTACGAGGAGCGCAAAGCATAAACGCTGACCGTAACCAGTTGAGCTAGGGAGGAAGTACATGAAAGGAACGGGCTGGAAAGGCCCAGTGATTTCATTCGGTGCCCAACCATTTCAGGTCTCCAGTTAAACCTGCTCAGGGATTTTCGATTCCATTAATGCTAGATCACCTCCATTTGTCCAACTTGAAAAATCGCCCGATATGAAGCATGAGCGAATTTGGAATTCTTTACCACAATCCATAATTGGACGTGCGAACTCGGTGGGATACTAGAGTTCAGGCATTAGTCCCAAAGCAGGTCAAACAAGCGAGATTGGGGATGAATCCCAGCGCAATGGTGGCTTGCCCCGCTGTTGGAGGCATTTTTGTAATGGGACACTTTGGCGCTGGTAGCCTTTTAAAACCCACCGCCAGTCGTCGCCCGCAATTGTTTTGCTTTTCTGCAACTTCCTGTTTCCAATGAATACAAAGCTGGTACAACTGTCTCAAAGACGAAACATCACTGTTACATCTTGTTGATTCCTTCAGCTCCAGTGAAACATTTCTTAATATTATGACCCACTCGTCTCGTACTCGTAATTTCCCGAGGACTACTTCGTTGTCAACGTAGCTCGCCTACGGTTTCCGCAAAGAGCATAAGACTCCGGGATGCTCAAGCTGATTAGAGATAGTAGTTAGTGGTGCGCAAGCGGAGCATGTAAACCCTCTCGCTCACCCAATTCAGGCTTATCAAAATGAAAAATGTCGTCACTTAACTCAGGTGGAATAAAATCATCAGTCCTGTTTGCTGTCATACGGCGGTTAATGTCAATGTCTTGATAGGCCTTATCGTGTTGAACTGATGAAAAGCAGCGAGCACCTTAAGCTTTCCTATGTGGAAGCCTAGATTCCGTGACGCAGAGTGAATTCATCTGGAGAAACTAGAAAGTGAGAGAAATGTAAGAGCTAGAACACCGGTTCTTGATGCAGAATGAAATAGAAAAAGACCACCGGGAATAAACAAAGCTTTCGATCCTAACCAAACCTTGATTCACGCCAGGGGAAAGCAATATTTATTGGCTTGGAAAGTGAAGCAGAGCGAGCCAAAGAAGACAGGTCTACAGGCCCCTTCAAATGACTATTGCTTCTGTGGCACCGAATCCTCGCGGGAGCACTGCTTGTGCGCCAAACCACCAGCGGTCTTATGTTGACCATGCATGCAACCATTGCTTAGTTCACGGCTAGTGAATTTCCTGCAGCTGCTCTCTCACTCATATTAAAAGCAGCCACCATCCAGTCTTTCTTTTTCCATCAACTTCCGCCATGCCTACACCTCACCATCCTTACTAAACCGCCTCAGAAAACGCTGGCTCTCAGTCCGTGTCTAGCACACAATTTTCCAGACCTCAGATATACCCTCAATCATCAGCCAACTTCACCGATCTCCCTCTGAAAAGCTACGAATTCCCCGATATAGTAGACCTCCTGGCTGGTCAGGGCCAACAGTGTACGATGAGCCTTCCGTTCAGGTTACCGATGCAATGCTGATCCTCCACAAATAAGCTAGAGAATTGGACAATTCCCATCTTTATCGAGTCAAAGCCTTCAGCATATCCACCCTTAGACCTACGGGACTTCGGTGACCGCGGAATTATCAACGTTTCTTTTCCCATCAGCATGCATTACCAAGACTACGATCCCCAGGTGCGATTATATCCTCCCTACCACGGAAACGAATCGACCGATGATATAAAAGATGTGACCCTACAGGGTTCCAAGCTGAAATCTCGACGGAAACGCACACCATGCAACAAGGCGACAAAGACTGGTATGAAACTACCAACCAAGATGCTCTGGGCCCGTGCTGACCACCATAGGGAATCTTGTGAGGGCCTGTACTTCCTTCAGTTCTAGAATATCTGGAGAATACCCTTGCCTGCGATGCTCTCGAGCAGGTACAAATTGCAGGCACTCGACCCCATGGACCAATCAAAGTGGGGTTCGCAATCTCAGCTTTAGCAACAATTTGCAAAACCAGCATGTCCAGTCATGCCTATCCCTCGAATCGGATAACAGTGAAACTATTGCAGCGAGCTTTGTCAGGCCTGAGCCAAGCCCCACGAATGCCAATGAGATCAATAAAAGACAATGCCGTGAAGATTCGCAGGCATACAGCGAGTGCCCGCATGTCTTATACCCAAGAGACAGGTCAGGATTAGAGACTGGGGGAATATCACCCACTACAGCGATCCTCAGTAGCCCACTAACATATTCCTGCTTGAAGACCCCAGAATGAATATGTTCCTGTTACCTCGA